CCCTGCAGACTCTCACACTGCATGCTGGTTTTGGTAGCCCCCCTTTCCCCAATGTTCCCACCCACCGATCTCAGTCCTTGTGGTCTGGCAATGCCTGGTGGGCATATGTGACCAGTCCTGGCCAGTGAGCAAGGTCCACCACTGCAGATGGCTCACAGGGGGACATGTGGCCTGGGTCTTTCAATCCCAGGGCATGCGAGGACCATTAGGGAAGCGAAATCCTCTTTCCATGGGAATAGCTGTTGGTGGCCACTCTGTCACAGTGTCAGTGTGGGAAACCTGCCTGAATGAGGCCCACACAGAGGCTGAACCGGGGGCTGCAGAGAGGACTCCTATTGTCATTGTTTGGGCCCAGCTGGGTGCCAGCTCAGACTTTCCAGTTACATGGACCACCTTTCTGTTTTACACTCGGGTCAACTTGAATTGGATTTCTATCTTATAACCCAGAGTCCACCATAATCACAAATCCACTAAGCATTGTTATCTAACAATTCCAGGTATTATCATTTTCTTGATCAAAAACTTTGGGCTCCAAAACACAGGGTTTAGGGCAGGGTGACCAGGACAAAGCTTGAGACAGACACAAGGGATGGGTGAGATGCCATTTCTCACTTTTCTCTTCCTTTCTCCTGTAGCTTAGATACACTGGGTCCACTCGTAGGACTCGGGGCAGGAGCCAAGATCACCTCACATGCCCTTGAACCTGCACCTGACCCAGTGCCTGCCACGGAGCCTTACCTGTAGTCAGTCAGGGTGGGTGAACGTCACACCAGAGGCAGGTGGGATGCTGTAGCTCCGTTTCCTGATGGAACTGCTGCTTCTGGTCCTGCCCCCAAAGTGCTGATGCCACTCCAGGGCTCTGTCCCCAGCCCGGCTGTCTCCTGGCCTGAGCTGTCCCTGGGAGAGCCCACCCTCGGCTCCCTGCCTTCTCCATGGGCCTGCTGTCTACCCTGAAACTGGTGATGCGAGGCCACACTGATTTCTCCCTCAAGGCCACCATGCTAGGAAGTGGAGCTTGAGTGGGGAGAAGGGAAGAGCAGGGTGGGGACAGTCTCCTCTCTGCAGCCCGTGGAGCTGTGGGATGACTGCTGGGGTGGGGCCCCATGGGGGCAGGTGGCTCTCCAGGCGGGGACAGGGCCCAAGCTGCAGAGCAGTTCTGCTCTGGGTCCAGAAGAGAAGACCAAAGAGTGAGGGTGTCCAGCCTGGTGAGCCAGAGGGCCCTGGGCCAGATGCTCCAGGTGGCTGGGATAAGGTACTCACCTGTCTGTCACCCACCTTAGAATCCCAGCCCTCAGCCAAAACCCAGGGGTCCTAATGAGCTCAGCTGTGCTTGCAAGCCCTCTGCAGCCAGCCACACCAGGTCCTGTGACCAGGGCACAGCTTCTCCAGCCTTGCTTCATGCAGACTTTCTTTCTTTTTCCCCTTTTCTTCCTTTCCTCCCCCCGCGCCCTCTTGTTCTTTCTCCTGCAGATTCTCAAAGACTTAGACTGAGAGTGGAGCTCCATTTCCAAAGTCTAACCCATTTTTAACAAGGAGATCCCATCCTCTGGGTGTGTGCACACTCGAATCTGTTGGCATCAGTGTGGCACGAGCTCACCTTTCCTGTCCCGCTTTTCCCTTCGGAGAGAGTGGATTCGATTGCTGACACGACTGCACAGAAGGGACAATGAGGACATGGTCCAGGTGCTGCGCAGCCCAGTCCCTGCTAGAGAAACGCTGTGCTGGGGGACTCCCTGTGCTACAGACACTTTTGGCTGCTTTCATATCAGGACCCTGGGAGCCACTCCTCCCAGAAGACCAGAGCAGAGCCTCACGTGTGGGATTTAAATCTACATTTTCCACTGAAGAATCATCAGGAACGAAAAGGAAAAGCCCTTGAAAGACTAACAGGAGTCATTTGAAAACTATGTTGCTTTTTTCTTTTTTAAATCAAACTGTACCAATTTTCTGGACCCTATTCAAAGAGCAAAGCTCACCTCTTATCTCATTTACTCTTCCAAACCACTCTACGAGATGTTATTTCCCCATTTTATAGATCAGGAAACTCAAGGAAAACTCGCTCTGGAACTACCCTGCAGCACCACACACGTGTGAACTCTGGAAAAAACAGCTTCTCCGTAGCAAGCGCAGCGGAGTCTAATTCAATTTCCCTGGCCATTTCAGATGGAGGCCAAGCTGCCCACTGAATGATTTTCCACTTCAATAAACTCCCTGCTTTTGTGAGAGCATCAGTGCTATTCAGGCCAGAGTCAGTGGCCTGGAGGTACAGGTCAAGTATGCTCAGCTGGGGTCACACCTGCTCAGCACAGACCGCGGGGCCCTCTCTCTGTATCAGTCCACTCACGGGGACCAAGATGAGTTCCTGTAGGAGAGGCGGCCAAGCGCCCCACGTGGGGAGGCCCTGGGAGGAAGACTTCTTGCTCACTTGGGTTGGTCCTGAAGTGGTCCAGGTGAGCGAGGTTCGCCGGGCCTTGCCTCTCTAATCATCAGGAACAAAAAGGCTGATGGCCTTAAAACCATGAAGACTGGAAGCAGGAAGATGACCTTAGACATCGCTTTGTCTAAGGATGGCAAAGAGTGGCATCTGGGTCACGGTCCTTTTTCTAGCCCCCTTGGCAGACATCGCTAATCCGTGGCAGCATCTCTGCAGCAGGGGTGCCTAAGCACAGTTCCCTGGCAGCCGGGGCCTTTCGACCCTTTCATCCCTGCCTGCAGAGAGAGGTGGTAGCTGCTTGGCAGATACCAGGAAAAAGAACCTGGTGTGTTTTTAGACTCCTGGGCGTGGGGCTGGGCTTATGTCATGCACAATTTGGCCAGCACCACGACCTTATGCTCAGCTAGGGTCACGGTGAGATGGGGCAGAGGAGCCACAAGGGAGGCCCCTGAGCAAGCTAATTCTATAGCCCCAGGCCTTGTACTAAAGTAAGAAGTGTGACCTTGAGAGTGTTCCACGCAGATATAATTTATCTGAAATACAGTAAAAATCCTGGGGTGGTGGCTGCTGCTGCCTTCTGCCAAGGGAAGCATTGTTCTGGGAAGCCAGTGACAAGCTGTTCATCTTCTAGCCTTGGGGACAGCCAGATCTCCCTGGGGAAGGGGCGGGGGCTGATGTGGAGTGGGGACCGAGACCATACTGCTCAAACTCAAGTCTTCCACGGTTTCCGTGTGTGGCGATGGAGCCTGTTTTTGTGTGCTAGTGTCTTCCAGTTTTCAAGACCTCTTCTGAGAGGGAAGGATGTTGGCATATGGTGTCCTCGTTCACTGGGGGAAGGGGACATTAGGGAAGTCGCGCAGCTAGCAATAGATGGCAGAGCTGCCTCTGGCTTTGGACCAGTGTCAGAACCAGGAGGGACCATCAGAGGGAGACTGCAGGAGAAATGGTGTCCCCGGCCACAGTGTCTCTGCTGTAGAGAATGGGCTCAGAGTGGGCCCCTTGCTTCATCTCAGACCCAACCCTGAGTCTCACCCACAACTAGAAGAAGGGCTAACAGCCACTGAGTGCTCACCAGGTAGGAGACGGGGCCAAGCAGCTTTATATGAATGACCTTCTTGAATCCTCACAACCACTCTGGGAGATGGTTACTACCCCATCCCCATTATACAGATGAGAAAAGCAACGCACAGAGAAGCTGGCAACTTGCCTGAGGCCCCACAGCCAGTGGAACAGCCAGGACTTGAATCCAGGGTCACTGCCACTAAGCACTGACACTGCTTCCCGGAACTGCCTCTTGGATACTTTATCACCATGATTTACTGAGCACCTACTTGGGGTCCAGTGAGTGCAAGGACACAGCTCTGTCCTCCAAGCTCAACTCCTGCCTGAAGACTTGCAAGGACCAGCCAAGAAGAGACTCAGATTCCCTGTTGAGCCTTCCTCCTCCTCCTCTTCCCTGTCCCTTCCCCGATACCCTTCAGGGTTCAGCTGCACACACAGCCCATGCGCAGCAACTGTCAAACCCGATTCTCATCCAGGCTGCCAGCTTCTGAGAGAAGAACACCATCTCTGGCCTCCCACAGCGCCCTGCCCTCAGGGGCCTTTGGGAAGTATTGCTGCAGCTGACCAGGAGACCCAGACACACAGCACAAAGGACAGGCACGTCTCATTATTCACACCCTCCCCTGTGCCATGGGTGTCCCATTTGGATCCAGAGTACAATTTTTTTCTCACGCCCAGTGGGCCAGGTTTTGGGCACAAGTTCCTGCCCCTGCCAGAGGGCTGCCACACTCTCAGTGACGTCATGCTTGTGGCCCGCCCGTCTGGGTCTCCCGGCTTTGCCTCCTGGGGAGTGGGTGGTGGGTGGTCTTGTCACACCTTCCCAGGCCTTTCCTTCTGGTCTGTGTAGCCTGGATCTTAGGCCCAATTCTCAGTGGTGCAGCTGGCTGGTAACTCTGTGGCTCCGGAATGGGAGGGAGCACCCTGAGCCTCAGCAAAACTCCCATCATGCTTTGCAAGTTGCCCACCCATCATGGACATAAGGTGTTAGCTCAGGTGCAGCTGGCCAACAGGTGTGAGGTCACTGGAGAGACTCAAGGGTCATCTCATCCAGTGGCTTCTGCAGCAGAACCTGCCACAGAGAGGCAGCACAGAGAGGGGGTGTGTCATTCAGCAGCCTTCCTCCTGCCTGAGTCCCGGCCCCTCAGGGCTCCATTGCACACCAGCCAGCCAGCTATCTCCCTCCCTGTTCTGAGCCTTGGCTAAAGCTTCTCTGAATACAATTCCAAGCACACAGCCTTCTGGATGGTGAGTCTGAGCTGCTGTCATCAGACCAGAGAAAGGACAGCTCAGACACCTGCAGGCTCAGTTCGCTCCTGGGGAAGGACTGGCAGGAACCTAGCAAGTTCCAAGGGACTGGCCCCGGGATCCCCAGCACAGTGCTGCTCCCAGTGCACGTGGGCGGGAACTGTCAGGGCTGCCAGCGGCCAGCTGCCTGTCCCTTCCTCCCATCCCTCTCCTCTCCCTTGAGACCCAACCTGTGACCACTGACAGACACGTCACTCACCATCTCGTGTGGCTTACATCCTGGGAACCTCCTTCCAGCTCAGCTCCGAGAGCAGCCAGTGTGTGGAGACCTGCAGGAGAGGAACTCAACGTTAGCAGCAGGGCAGAGGACGGGGTGGCCATCTCTCTTTCCCAGCAGGACTGAGTCACTGGGAGACTGGGGTAAAGGTGGGAGGATGAAAGGAAGAGGAATCGGTATAAGGACCGAGCTGCTCATTAAGCCAACCTCAAAATCTCTGGGCTTTGTGGCGATTCTGAGACAGGGAGAGGAAGGAAAAAAAAAAGCCCCTAACCCTGGATGAGTCAGCAGCTCCTGGTAAGGCAGGCTTTTCAGGAGAGCGAAGCTGATGGGGAAACTGCGTGGGGTGGGCCAGGGGCCCTCTTTGACCTCACTCAGTGTCCCGGGAGTCGCCCCTGCCTGCTCCCAGCAGCAGGCCACACGTGGTTCCGTTTGGATGAGGGCTTAGGGGGAGCTCTGTGCTCAGGCCTGCAGTCGGAAGGATGCTGCGGCCTTAAAACAAAAGCCCCCAAAGCGTATTTATATCCCGAGAGACTCCTGCCAAGCTCACCCCGTGTGCTTCCATTATCCCTCAGAGAGCGGAAACTGGAAGAACAAGGCGAGTGCCGACCTCTGAGGATGTGTCCCCAGCACGGCAAGTTGAGGCCTGAGCCCTGGAGGCTCCATGGCCAGCCAGGCAGAGGCCACCTGCGGGTGCAGTCAGCGCTGCTGAAGGCTGGGGCTCGCTCCCTGCACCCAGCCACCTTCAAAGCCAACCTTGTATTTTCTTGTTTCCTTCAGAATTCTCAGGTGAGTCTATCCATCCATCCCTGCTCTCAAAGATGCACTGTTCGGATGGGGGAAAGATGGTGTTCCCGCTGTAGCCATCGGGCACTAGGCTCTGGGCATTCAAGCTGGGAGCTCATGGAGGGGCAGGGTCCCAGCAGGGACTGAATTTTAACAAGACCCCCTGTGACTCCTGCACGTTCAAGTCTGCAGAGTGTTGGTGGATGAGGCTTTTATTCATGGGAGGAGGAAAGCTGTGGGCCATTCTCCAGGGGGGAAAGTGCTGGACTGTGGTAACTGGGCCACGGTGGCTGTGCAGCAGTAGATGGTAGAGCAGGTTCAAAGCCATGCTCACGGGGCTGTGGAACTATGTGGGGGAAGCAAAACGAGAAGGTGAGGGTCAGGCAGGCCCCGCTTCAAGGGAAGGGCAGTGAGCCAGGGTGGCCAGGGGCCCTCAGGCCCTGGGGTCAGCGTGGGGTCCCAGCTGTACTGCAGATCGCTCTAAGCAACAGCCATCGGGGACTGGAGATAGTTTCCCTCCTCTTAGTTCCGTCAAGGGCCAGCAAAATTCCCCAGTCAAAAGTCCTGGGTCTCCTTCCTGCAGGGGTATTCAAACTTCTGCATTTAATCACAGCGATTAACTGATTTTCATTTCAAGGAGTTTAATTCTCTTGGCCACGGCCCTTGGAATGAACCATCCAGTAAGGAAGAAGGTGCCCTCAGAGACCAAGTACCCTACGTAGTCCAGACACAGACCAACGGGAAAGACAATACTCTACAAACCCTTATACCTTAGAAAATGCTTCTCCACTAACTAATCAGTTTCCAACTTTTAAGGGATGTGTCCTTAGCCCTGTCTCACAGTTGAGAAAATCATAGCACAGAGGGGATAAGTGACTTTCCTGAGGTCACAGAGCTCTCTGATAGTTTGTGGCTGCTATCTTTTGATTTCTAGCTCCAGAGGTATGACTTGAGTAGTCCTGCTGATCCTGATGGGGAGAGGGACATCACAACAAAGGTTTCTGATGCTCCTGATTACAGCTACTCACCTCCATATATTCTTGTGACACACTTGGTGTTAGGTGGGTATAGTATATAGATTTACAAGAGGAGAACGTACTACAATTGACGGGTGAATGACCGGTGCCCTTCTCAATGCCAGCTAGGGCTGGGGGTGCGAGCTCAGTGGCAGAGTGTTTACCTAGCACTGTGATCCTTAGCACCCTATCACCAACCGGACTTCTTTGTTTATTAGTTATTAATACTGTCTCAAAATATGGCATGCTCTAGGGGTCAGACTTGGAATCTCATCTCCCCCTTTGCTAGTCCCGTGGAAGGGGATTTGCCCCAGGTCCTCTGGAGTATATTAAAATTATTAATGTTCGAGTTTCTCATTTAAAATGGCAAAGTATTTGTACATAATCTCTGCACATCCTCTCATATACTGTCATCTTTAATTACTTATAGTATCCTATACAATGTAAAAGCTATATAAAAAGTCTGTGCATGTTCATTATAGACAAATGCATTTTCCAGCTGTGGCTGGTTGAATCTGCGTGTGCAGACCCTGTGGATACAAAGGACAACTGGACGTTATTTACACTCTTGCACTTGCTTTTGTAAAGCGGATTAGCTCAGCTAGGGCAGTGATGTCAATGAAGTGTGGGTGTCGCCTTGGTGCGTAGACAAATGTCCAGCACATTAATGTTTTGTACCACCAGATACCAGCAGCTGGGTGTAAAGTGACTGACTCTGCTGCCCACGTGCCACCCACTCTCTGGCCTTCCACGGCTCACTGTGCCCACATGTGGTCTCAGAAGCACTGCTGCTCAGGTCTCCCTGATCTTTGTGTAGAGACCATGCTGGACTGTCCACCTCGGCCCCGTTAGCAAAGTCTGCAACTGCTCTTTCACCTTCACTTCTGGGGAAAGAATCTGTCCACACCTGCCTTCGCCTGCTCCAGTCACCGTCCACCATGTTTCCCATTTTTGTTTTCTTTAAATATTGCCCCATGGTTATACAGGCCTTGAAGTTGCTGCTGTATTTCTTTGTTTGATTCAAAATTTAATGGGCCATTTTAATGGGTTGCCACCCTCCCCAGGACTGTGCCTTGTCACTGATTTGGTTGTGTTATGTCTTTTGCAACCCTGTTATCCCCCAAAGTTTTGATTTTTAAAAAATTTTCCTAATGCAAGGATGTCTGGGATCACACTACATCACTTCATAGCAGAAATGCCTGCAGAGTGGAAGATACAGGTACCAACATCTATAAAGGACTTCAATGTATAATGCATAGCTTTTAAATATTGACTCTGTTGATATTAAATATTGAATATATTAAATATTCAATTAATCATTTATTGAGTACCTGAACGTATCTGGTTTTGTGCTAAGCACCAGACTGACACTGAAGATAAAGCTCAGTCCCTTCCCTTAAGGCATGGTATAAAAAGGGAGAAACACAGCAGATTGTGAGAAAATATAATGCATCAGGAGGTGGCCTGGGTAGGAGCAGCTACCAGAAGCCTGTGTGTCTGCAGAGGTCAGTTCTCAGGCCCTGCTTGCTGAGGCCCTGGAGGTCTAGCCTGCCCTCCCCCCCGCCCTACCTTGCCCTGCTGTGTCCCTGGCTTGCTGGCTTCTTCTCAGTGCCCTGTCCTGTGCTCTCTGCAGTTCTGGGGCTGTGCTAGGCCCTCTCCTGAATGCTGTCCTCGCTCCTCCCACGGGCACCAGCTTCCCCTGCAGGACCCACAGCGCTGACACAGTCGAAGAGCTCAGGACCACTGCGAAAGCAGGTGTGTTGCAGCTCTGATTACTCACGACACCTGTTATTATCCTCAACTGATGAGGCAGCCACTTGGGCACAGAGGAGCAGAGCATCTGGCTGGGGCTGCACAGGGAATGATCCTCGGAGCTGGGGGGTTTACCCTTGAACCCACAGGGCACCATCCCCCAGGGGCAGACATCTGGTCCCCGTCAGCCTGGGGGACATGCACTGGGCTTGATCACAGGAGGCCAGAATCTGGTCCTGCTTCTCTCACATGCTTGTTCTGTGTCCCTGGCTGGTCACTTCCCTCCCAGGGACTGTGGAGCCAGGGGGGGCTCCACAGAGCTGCCTCCCCGTGGAGAGGAGCCACTGCCTCAGAGCAAACCCTGAGGCCCTCCCTCTGGTGTGCAGAGCAGCAGCTCATCTGGAGCTTTGCAAATGAATGAAAGGGCTCTTTAGGCCCCTGGAGCTCCCAGCGTGCACACTTCCTGTCTTCCTGGCTCTAGACTCTGCACCAGAAAGCACTGGCCCCCAGAGCAAAAGCCCAGTGAGGAAAAATCTGTGGGTAGCACTTCCACCCCCCCACATTCCCCCCTTTCCCCTTGGCTAGTCTAAGCCTGTGGAGTTGCTGGAGAGCGGAAGGGGGAACAGGGAAGCTACATAAGGGCTCCCAGAAGTCAGCTCCCTCCCAGGGCCACCCCGCTAGGCAGGGCACTCCACCCTGTCTTCATCAGCTAGCGGACCAGCAAGAAGCTGGGTCTAGTAAGCAGGTCATTATGTCCTGAGGTGACAGCATCATTTGGGGGTTTTAGTGATGAGGGAGCCCCATACTCTGGTTGGAGCTGGGACAGACTGGGAACAAGAGGAAAGTCAAGGTCAAAAAGGGTGAAGATACAAGGCCATCTGTGGAGCCTGGGCTTGGTTGTCCCTTTGCAAGCTGAATGGGCCATCTCTACTTCCTGTCTGTCTTCCAGACAAGAGTTCCCCTTGGTCACTAAGAGCAGCCTTTAATTCCAAAGAGGATCATTAGCAAGTGGCCAAGAGTAGCCGACACCACCCGAGCACACGCTCTGTGCCAGGCACTGGGCTGGGCTTGTCTTCTCTCTTTTCCATTGCAACTCTGAGGAGCAGGGACTTATGTACCCATTTTAGAAATGGCAAACCTGAATATAAGGGGTGAACTAAGTTACCCAGAGTTACAAGGGTAGAAAGTCCAGCACTGGAGGTGGGACTCAGAATACTCTGAATGATCCTTCCATCTCCCCTGATGCAGTCTCTCCAACCTCGACTCTGCCTGAAGTTGCTGGCAAACTGGGCCGTCTCTCCCTCTAGCCCCAACCTATTCCTCAACAGAGATCTCCAAGTTCAGAAGAGGCTGAGTTCAGGAGCAGCCCAGGTGTGTGTGTGCAGCTCGACATCTTGGATGTTTACGAGAATACTGAATTACACTCTAGAATTGATCTGGGTTTGTTTCAAAACGTTTCCTCTTCAAAACTGTCGACTGTCATCTACATTCCGGGAAG